TATCATGCTATCACATCATTCTGTATCAATTTAGTTTAGTATGTCGTCTCATATTTTCATTTAGCAAAAGCGGTTTCAGTGTGAGATTTTATGATTTTTTAGCCTGTGTATAAGCCGAGTTGATTTTATTTTTCGCTTACTTTCTTCTTTGTGTTATAATATATATTTAAACGATTAAATACAAGCAATGTAAGTGGTGATTGCTTTCATTGATACAGATAGTCGGAACGGTCAGGAGGAGGTGCCTAGACTCGCGGAGGGAGAGGAGAGTCGCGTGGCTGAGGGAGGTGAGAGACCGCGGGAGGGCAACGGGCTGCTGGTACACAACCCACGGCTCAGGGCCTACGGGAGAAAGCTTGGATTATTCATTCCTAAGGTATTTATTATTATAAAACTACGAGTATAATGTATACCACATTTTCTGAGTACGGCAGTTCTACTACTAATCTAGTAATATGATTTTCTTACTGATATTGTAACTGCGAATGGATGTATGGATGGATGGATGTTTATTAGAAGGTGTCTCTAGAACGGCTGTATGGATTCCTCTCAATTTTGGCATAGATGTAGAACATTCTATGGAAGAACACATAGGCTACTAATTAAGTATTTTTTAAATTCCGCGAGAACAGAGTCGAGGGCGACAGCTAGTTAGTAAATAATTAATGATGGTAGTTTAGGTGAGTATTCGAACCATACCTTTATGTTTAACATTCCGTGCCGGGAACCACACGGTAATTAGGGCTTGAAATTACTCATCCGCATCTTTGTAATGTTTACTCATCTCTTGATGTGCTTTGTTTGGCCGACATTCATCATTGTGTGTATTGCATGATTGTGTGTTGAGGAAACTTGCGTGTTTGTTGCAGGAAATAAGTGAATATTTTTGTGAATAATTGTATCATATTCAATGTACAGTTTGATTCAGTGCTATTGTTTAATGTGTTTTCCTTGGGAATTTCTTTGGCCACTTTCGTGGAATTCAAGTCAGATAATGACTTGGGACTCGTTCGATTTTTTACTGTTTATAGAAAATATGATTTGGCAATCAACCAAAAAACATTTATAGATAGTAATAGTTTGACTATTTCAATTAGTTTCCCTTTTTCTGATAAAAGATAGTGTAAACGAATGACATAGTCGTTAACAAGCTAATTAGAAAGCAATCTAATTATACACATGTAATAAAATTGGTGTGCCTGTATGTAATATCAAAGTAAAAAGACGTAAAGCAAATAAATCATATGTTGTATTTGCTTTACGTCTTTCTATCAGCAAGCCGCGTTTGATCTGGGTAATATCCGGAACGGCTGGGCAGAATTTGACAGGATTTTCACCGGAAGGTGTTTGTTGTATGTTGGCATATTGTAGCCTACTTTTTATTTTTTTTTAATTTTGCGCTGACAAAGTCGCGGGCGACCGCTAGTTTTCTAATAAAGCTGTTGTATTTGCAGAACGGCAGCAGTCGTACAGCAGAGGTTAGCCCGGGTGTGGGAGGTGTGGGGGGCGTGGTGGCAGGCAGCGGAGGCGTGTCGGAGGGCGGGGACAGCGTGCTGACGCCGCGCACGGAGCGCCGCCTGGAGCGCCTGCCCGCCATGCTGGCCACGCACGCGCACCACGTATACCTCGGCGGATCATTCCCGGTCAGTGAAACTTATTGATGGATATATTGTTGTATCATACGGTCCATTATTGATTGTCAGACAGGTCACTTGGCCAATAAATCTAGAAAATTTAAAATTAGAACGATCCAAGAACACTCGAAATATAAATTTAAAATGTGTTATACCTTTCATCTGATATAAAGATTTGATATATAATATTTTATAATTGAATATTGTTATGTCTATCGACCGGATGTTGAATCTAAGAGAAATATGTTAGGATTTCCTAGTTATTGTTATTATAAGAGGGCGCGTGCGACAGCAGTAAGTGGCACGTGACTGTGGCCGGCACACGCGTACCAATTTACGACTTAGTTATCACGTTTCATAATATTGTATTGCGTTTGATCGATACATTCAAAATAAACTCTTAATGCCATTCGAATTGAAAGGTTAAGTAATTAATTTTGTAGTTGTTGACAAATTCTATTTTTTTATCTATGGCTGAATGATTAAAATCAGACTGAGACTTCATATTTATCCGAATTAACATGTCTTAAATCTAGATATTTTAATGTTATTTAACACTTTTTGAACATGTACACTCGTTACTCAGAACAAGTTAAACATCTTGTACATACATGTACTCAAACATTGTAAAACATGTGCTGACATAAAGCAAGACAAGTTACTTTGTATACAACACGCTATTGCTAATTACAGTTTGCTTACTACACTTTTATTTACAAGACATATTACATTTCTAGATTCGCCAAACGTTTATACTTCCACATTCACACATCTACGCATACGATGTCACGTTACCATGGTTACCATGGATGGATAATTGCTGTACCCACTGATAGCTATAAATGGATAGGCGATTGCTTGGAAATGATATCTATTGATTCTTTCCGATTTAAATGCGCATATTGATACTACTTGATATTTATAAAATGGTGAAAATCAAATAGGCACATAATACTTTGTCTTATAGCCGGTGTATTTATAGAGGTTAGTGTCTGCACCTGATCTCATAGTGTATCCAGCTATGAAATCGATGGTGTTATTTTAACGTTACAAAAATAACACCATCAATTTAGTATTCACGTAATATATTATAATACAATTAATTTACTTTATTTTGTATTTTATTACAGTGTGGAGGTAGTCGTCCCGAGGATGTGCTGCGGCGCGAGGGGTTCACGTACGTGTCGCCGCGCGCCAACGACTACACGCGCATGTTCTCCGCACCCGCGCGCCGCGCCGCCGCCTCGCGACCTGACTCACCCTGCGACAAGAAGCCACGCCCCAACGCACATCTCTCGGTACCTCTCACAATCATTTCTCACACTATACTTTGTAATTAGATAAATTCATCAATTATTTCATTTCAATTCATCAATTATTGAT